GTTATACACGTAGATATTTTTATGTTATTCATGTATCTAAAGATGTCTCATCCGTAAACATGTACCTAAGCTGCTTCATCCCTTATCTAATCCAATAGCCAGTCACCAAAATCACCATTACTCATTCCGAACCTTGTCATCTTCCGAACTTTTCCCACTACTTCTTCATATCCAAAGGTCATTTCTCTCAAACCCTTAAATAGCCCTACCCTCTCATCCTGAGGCAGTCAGCAATCGTCTGAGTTATTGTGCGTGTCTACTCTGTATCTTGCAAATAAACTGATTGTTCATAGTGGTGATTCCAAGAGTTTTACAATTATTTTAAAAAATTCACGCCTTACGTGACACCTTCATCGAGGTTTCCATTGTTTTAAAATTTCTTCTACTCGCAATTCGTTTTCTATGACCCGTGCGTTTTCTGCGTCCGAATAATAGCTTTCAGTGTTCTCGCTTGTTGTCGACTCGTCCTGCGACTTCTCTTCAAGCGCTTGTTCGGGCACGTTTCCTGGAACTGATTTTCCGTTTGTCTTCACTAGGCACTTTTATGACTTTTATGATTCCTGTTGATGATACTCTTATTAGTATTCAACGATGATCCTAGTTGACGATTGTGATGTATGTACGTCGCGTAGAGCGACGTTAGGTTGTGTTGAATTTAACGGGTTTAAAACGATATCTCTGCTGTTCAGATAACGACCACGTGTCGTTCCTAGGTTATACCGGTACAATGAAAAACTTCTTTTCTTTTAGAGTATAAAAATAAACTATATATATTCACTGTATTTGTTACTGAACAATATTAAACAAAATTAAACTTTTCTATATATTCAATTATAAATGAAAAATCCTTTTTCTCTCTCTCTTTATACAAACGTCTGTGACTGCCCAGACCTTACAAAGGAGTAACCGACGAAACGTGAACAGAGCTCGCGCAGCGCCACATCACACACACACACACCTAGCGACGCTCACGCACATGGCGCAAATAATTTATCCTTAACAGGTTGGTACCGCGGACGGCGTGTGAGCGTGCGAGCGGGCGTGAGTCTCGTAAGATTGAGAGTAACAGTGTCGATTGCTTCACCTCATCCTGGTTCCCTATGCATGAACCTACGTGCACCACCCACAATACATAACATCTTATTTTACGAGAATCACAATCAACGAAAGTCTTAATCGACGAGAATCTAACACGATCATCGACGATAATCACATTTTACGGTAACCGACGAGACTCTAATACTCGGTACTCGACGATACTCTACCGACTGCGCCATGTTATGTCGTGCGTGGGTACTTGAAATAAGTGCCAGTGCAGTACTTGAAATAAGTGCCAGTGTATTAGTAATAATATCTTTATTAACCAGGACGCACTGGAGACCGAAACGTGCTAAGCCTAACCTTGCTCAAGTGATACCAAGACTGATACTGACTGAGAGGGCAGCCGCGCTTATGCCTATGCCTAATGCTGCCAACCTCAAGTCATTACAATCATGACAGTAGTAGATCCACGGTTTGAAAAATAATACGATTTGAGATTTCTAAGGGCATGTACACTGTACACCATTTCAATTTAATGTTTTGGAATTACCGCTGTTTGGTCACGTGATGGTCCCGAAGGCGGAGCTTGGCTACCTGATGTTGGCGACGGCACGTTAGTATTGCAAGCCTATGCCACTGGCAGTCCATGTATATATAGTCAAAGATTCGGACAATGAGTATTAACCGAATGTCTGGAATTAATTTTCTAGCAGTTTCACGGCTAAGGTTAATTTACGCATTGAAAATGAAAATTCCTCAAACTCCGTAGCATCCATACGATTCATGACACTCTTCAGTTTATCCGCTTTTATAATCCAAGATGTACTTATGAAGTAATACACGAAACTGCACGGTTCCCTTGGACACTGTCTTCAACGCCCTGAACAAAAAAATAAGTAATAGTTGTATATGTAAATACGGATAATAAGTGATGCATCAAATATATTTAACTGAATCGAGTTTGCGTAACTGTTAATGAACGTANCGTTCAGGGCGTTGAAGATAGTGTCCAAGGCAACCGTGCAGTTTCGTGCGTTGTATTACTTCATAAGTACATCTTGGATTATAAAAGCAGATAAATTGAAGAGTGTCATGAATCGTATGGATGTTACGGATTTAGAAGAATTTTCATTTAATATGACACTTATAGACTGGGTTGAGGTGTCCGAAGTACTTGCTCTGAACGCTCGTAAAATTGTAAAAGACCCGATCGAAACGATTTCCGACGCGAGGAGGAGGTTCCAAAAGCTTAAAGTACTTCACTACACCATAGTCACTTCACTATGGATACTTGTATTTTTGTTCGTCTTTAGAATAATATTTTCACTATTTTATTACTGAAACCGCAATAAACGCAGCATAACAACATTACGAATTTGCATTAAAATTTATTCCGATAGTTAATTTATTCTCCTAGAATACTCTCTCTCTTCATTCCCAACAATGTGTCGTAATAAATGCTTGTGATTGACTTCAATATTCAATTACAATCGTTCGAATAATTCATACGTATACGTGTGCATCAATTACACTGTAGATTGTTCTTTAACAGGGTCCGACACCTGCTATTCGGCATTTGCACAGCTACGTCAAGAAAAATATCTTTGGACCATTCCGGTTTTTGTACGCAGTATGCTTGAATAAATCGGATTTGAAGTACTAGCTGCGCTATTGTTTCTAGCGGTTGATTGGTCCGTCCAGCCAAATTTATACGATTGAATTCAACAAACTGAAGACAACGCGATAACATTTGTGGATACGCGGATTCTTACATTTCCTTAAAGATTTTTCTCTGAGGGTGGCTGATGATTATACAAAGCGATATCAACGATTTTTAAGTAAATTCGTCGTAAAATCGTGAAAATAACGAAAATGCGTAAATTAACCTTAGCCGTGAAACTGCTAAAAAATTAATTCCAGACATTCGGCTAATACCAGAGATGAAAAGGGAGATTGCTCATTTCTTTGTTCGAAAGTGGACAGGGCTCACTACCAGTTCACTACCGCACCCTAGTGTCAATGTCCATTATTTAAGGGGAAATAGACGTAGTTTAGGAGGGATTGTGCACTACTCCCNTTATTATTCGTTTTGAATTTTGCCCCCGAGAAAAATAACACATGCATATAGCTGGATCAGTTTCGTTGTTATTAGCTGTACGCAGTAAACATGAGTGAAAGCCTATTCACATTACCGTAAGCGAAGTAAAAATTCTACGTGGTAGGGGGCGAACTTTTGGTCTCGAGAGATGTACCGGCGTAGCCTACAGTACCGTAGTAAAAAATTTAAAGTATAGGGAAACCCATGTAAAAGCACGGGGACTTCAAAAGGGCCCGTCGATTCGTTCCGCAGACTAGCGCGAAAGTACGGGTCCGCCACCCGCTGAGTACCTGCTAGACCTTTTTTTTATGGCCGATCTCGTAGTTTCTGGTCAACACGACCGGGGTTTCGAAAGATCGTGAGCCACGATGAATAATAAATGAAACTCGAAAGTGTGGAGATGGTTGAGTAATCAGACAAAGAATTACAGAAAGTAATGAAGTCTAAATGTATCTTGGAATATAACTGGTTTCATTATCACGCTTTGACGTCTATCTAAATGGTGCGGAAACAGGTTAAGTAGATTCGTCGTGAAGTCGTGCAACTAGAAGAAATGCATAAATTAACCTTAGTCTTGACACTGCTAGAAAATGAATTCTAGTCATTCGACTCAATAATAATTTTCTTTAATATCCATTGTTCGAATGCAAATCAAATGCAATGTTTTCCTTATTAATCAGCACGTGTAAAGGGTAACAATGAGATCACGCATTTCCTTGACCGCCGAACCGAATGCCATATAAGTAAGTAGCACAATTCAGAAATTTGTCAAGTGACGACAAGAAGCACAAGCGTTACTTGCCGCAGAGACAGAAGTGATATTTTAAAAATGAATGTGACGAGCGATTCGAAAAAGAGCGATGGCCAGATACGAAATTTCTACGCCGGAAAACATGTATTCCTCACGGGGTGCACCGGTTTCTACGGAGGCCTCATCTTGGAGAAGCTCCTAAGGACGTGCACCGAAATTGGCAACGTTTACATTATGACCAGAGAGAAGAAAGGTTTCTCCGTGCAGGAAAGAATGGAGAGGTTCTTCAAGAAGGACGTGAGTAAATTGTACTCGTAATAGTTCTCGTGACAACGAAATTAGCCTATGATAGAAACCAACAAATATTCTGTCATCCCAGCTAATTGCAAAAACGTTCTAGAACACCTGAATTATTCGAAACTCCATCATCAAAATAGTCCGTTTGTCACACCTTTTAGAAAAAAATGCCTTAAACACTGGCTAGTCAGGGGTTTCAAACTGATACATGAAAATTCAAAGGTACCCTTTACTCACTTACCCACTCAAGTCAACTCTCTTCTAAAATTATACGGGGCATACGGCAACTGGTGTCAATAAAAGTAATAATTAATTCTACTGGATAAATTTAGACAAAAGGCCATCACGAAACGATGACTGTTCATAAATTACGAATGCATATGCATACTCTAATGACATTATCACGTAATAGAGATATTACGAAAATTTAACAAGCGATGAATTCCGAGTGAGAGAAGCAGAACTAAAGTACATTTAAACAGAGAGACATTTATATAAACGTACACTTTCTAGCATAAAATTCACATTTAGTAAACT